GAGTTAGAGTTAGAGTTAGAGTTAGAGTTAGAGTTGGAATTGGGGTTAGCGTTGGAGTGGGAGTTGGAGTTGGAGTTGGAGTTGGAGTTGAAGTTGGAGTTGGAGTTGGAGTTAGAGTTGGAGTTAGAGTTAGTGTTAAGGCTAGAGTAAGGGTCAATTAGAATTGTAGTTAAATGCAGAGTAAGAGTTAGCGATGGAGTTAAAGTTAGTCTATTTGTTTCATGCTTTCTTCCTCCTTCCTCTGTTTATACACTCTGTTTATACACGTTTTCAGCAATTTAAACTTATTTAAGGTTCCGCTATACTCGGCATTTCTTATGCATGTATGTATAAGTTTCCGCACAGGCATTGTAAGGACTTTGTGACCTTCTAACTTTAGATTGCTGTAGACTAAACTTACGACATACACGAGTTCAGTATGTTGTTTATAGAAAGAAGGAAAGGAGCCCATATGTCTTGTTCTGGTTGACTGCTTGGCGCAGTAAACATACCGCAAAACTGCACATAGGTAGACGATAAAATACAAAGAAGGCGAAAATGTTTTTGTTGATTTTTATTCGAGAAGAAAGTATATTTTTGGTAACGCGACACATTATTTGCATATAAAAATAGGTTTAAAGTATTTGCATACATATTTTACATACCATACTTTCTTACAGCCAACATCACGGCACTTACTACATGAATACATGAAAATGAATTTTACACCACCTAAGCACTAAACAAGATGTTGTCCCACGCACTTTGGCGGCCGCAACCGGCAACGGTTGCCATTGCTGGGAGCACTTTTGCCACCGCTTCAACATCCGACGAAATGTTGCTGCTCGATAACGATATCATCGTAAGTCAAGCGTACTACTCCAATTCGCCGCTCTTTGCCTTTGACTCATCCTCGTTGGGCGACCTGCAGCAGCTGCTGCAGAGCGAGGCATTCAAGCAGAATATGTCACTGACATTGAATATCTCAACGGAGAACCTGACTGATCTGCTAAATACTGCACAGCTCAATCAGACCAGGGAGTTGCCGCAACAGCAGCTCCCTATGTCTGCGTTGATTACGCTCACCGTGTTCTATGCCATCATTTTCGTTGCTGGTGTGCTGGGTAATCTCATCACATGCATTGTTATATCGCGGAATAAATTTATGCACACCGCGACCAATTTCTATCTCTTCAACCTGGCGGTGTCGGATTTGATGTTGCTACTGTCTGGTGAGTTTCGTTTGTTATGCGTAAAATTTTGATAAAATAAAGATGATCATGTTTAAAAGTCGCTTACAAATAAAACAAATAATAGAATAGGACGACAGTCTAGCATCTGAATAGTAGCGTATTACAAGTAAAATACTTGACTGTGGATCTAACTTGAAACCCTTATAGAACCTCTATTGGTCTCCTTTTTAGTTCCTGTTTTTTATGGCACTCTTTGAAATCTTCCATGTTTTTAACACAGATTTTTCATATCTCTTATTTTAGGGGCACCTCAAGACGTTTACAGTTATTGGTACCCGAATGCCTTCCCATTTGGCGATGCAATTTGCATACTTGGTAGTGTTTTAGCGGAGACAGCCACCAATGCGACCGTGCTAACAATAACGGCATTTACCGTTGAGCGCTACATAGCGATATGTCATCCCTTTCGGTGAGTAAAAGTTAATGCTTTGTTTTTTGCTTTTTCAGTTAACACTTATAATTTACAGTTAATTAATTTTTATAATTAAACAGTTTGAGTTTTCTTTTCATGGTATTTTTTTTTTTTTTTTTACTTGGCGACTCCCAAACCCAGCGCACAAACCTGGGGAGAATGTTTCGCATTCTCACTTGGGCTTACCTGCAAACAAATGTTTGGTCCAAGACCGGAAGTCGTGACCACTACCAAGTGAGTGAACTTTCCTCACTTACGTGAACTTCTACACATGAATCCATCCCCCAATGATATTGATATCATCGGTCTCAACAACCGCGCCGTTATTTCGAAATATACCCTGTCATCAAACAAACAGTCGTCGAGCACGCAGCTTGATCCCCACGTCACTGCTGCCAGTAATAACTTCGAAGTCGTACACAATTTCGAATATCTTGGAACCAGCATTAACCCCAACGATAAAGTCAGCCTCGAAATCTAACGCAGAATAAAAATTGGTAACACTTGCTAATTCGGATTGAGTAGGCAATTGAGATGTAAAGTTCTCTCTTTATGAACGGAGTCACTCACCTGTTGTTTTGGTGCGGAGGCATAGGCAATACAATGACAACAGCTGACAAGTCGGCATTATGAGATTTCGAGATAAGGTTGTGCGGATGATTTATGGTCCTTGCGCAACAACGCTGGCTAGGTCATGTCGTCCATATGTGTGATAACATTCTGGTTCTGAGAGCATTCGATGCTGAACCCGCCGGCGAAAGCAGTGGAAAAATAAGACCTCCGTCGAACAGATCAAGGTGGAGTAGGACCTAGGTAATGTTAGAATCTCGAATTAGCGCCAAACAGCAAAACAGAAGAACGACTGACGCGCTGTTGTAAACTTGGCTACAACCGCGTAAGTGGTATCCACTCCAACAAAGGAAAGGAAGTTTGAGTTTTCTTAATTCTTTTTAATAAGCTAATTGACGGCAAGAAAAATAGAATAAAGGGCGCAACCACCTTACCGCAGAAGACAGCGCTATATTTGGATTTTACTTGGTTTTCTCTTTTCAATTCCAACTAACTACTTTTGCGATTAATTTTAGCGATACGCGCGTCAATTTATAGGGCACCCCACACAATGTTGCTTCTTGACGATTTTCAACTTTAATTTATACACACACATTCACACATACTTTGTCTTTTGAATATATATGTAGATATATAATTTGTTTAAAAATTTACTTTGATGTAGCCTTTAGTTCTGTACTCTATGTATACCTAGTGAACTATCGTCCTTTACTTTTCCCTCTCTCTTTTTATTGCTTAATTACAGACAGCACACCATGTCGAAGCTCTCGCGCGCCATCAAGTTCATCTTCGCCATTTGGGTGGCGGCGCTGCTGCTCGCCCTGCCGCAAGCGATGCAATTCTCCGTCGTCTCTGAGCAAGGCGGCACCTCGTGCACGGTAGGTTCAACGAGTAATACTTAGCGGTAATAGTGATATTTATATAAGTTTTTAAGTCTCACTGAGAGGCCACTTAGTTTTTAATACGATAGTGGCGTCTGCTATTACCTTTCTTAACCATGTTGTTTTCATGTATGTCATCTCATCTCAACTAAAAATTTTAATTGTGTATGTGATACCTTTTTCGTTCACAGATTGGCAATCATTTTGTCGAGCATGTTTTCGCCGTTTCGGGGTTTATCTTCTTTGGCGGTCCCATGACGGCGATTTGTGTTCTCTACGTACTGATTGGCATAAAATTGAAGCGAAGTCGCTTGCTACAGGCAGTGCCGAGACGTAGTCTGGATGTGCATCGTGGAATCAGCGCACAAAGTCGTGTGATCAGAATGTTGAGTAAGTAGTTGTTGTAGTTTTTTTTAATAAATTTAATGGTTAGTGAGTTTTTACTTGATGTTTATTTTACAAAAAATTTCGTTTAAGTAAGTAATGTTGTAATTTTATCTAGTCTAAGGGGAATGCAGAGCATAGTAGTCGAATTTTAAAAGAAAATAGTTTGTAGTTTTAGACTTTTCATACATTTTAATTTTTTTTATAACGGGTTTTTCAATAACACCGCTACATTTATTCCTGTGAGTATGCATTCGATGTCATTATGTATGGAACTCGATTTCTTTTACATGGCCACCACGTGCACGCTTACAGAAGTCCAGACGCTGAACCCAATTTTCGACGGATTTCAAGTATAAATAACGTTCGATATTCGTATGAAGTACATCAATCAACGTTGACTTGTTGGCATAGACCATAGACTTGACGTAGGTCAACAGTTAATAGTCTAACGGTGCGAAATTGCACGACCGAGGCGTACCAATTGACTGAGATAACACGTTCATCAAACTTGGTTTTCAATAAATCGATCCAAGTCCATATCATCCAATTCGATCCAAAAATATTCGGTTATCATTGGCCGATAGCGATTTTCATTAACAGTAACATTCCGGTCTTGACCAACTCGGAAGAAGTACGGCCCAATGACGCCACCGGCCCATAAAGTACACAAAACCGTAATTTTTTCGGGATATAATGGTGACTCATAAAGTACATGTGGATTGCTGCCTGACCAATAATGCATATTTTGGTAATGACGAAGCCATTTAGCCTGAAATTAGCCTCATTGCTGAAGATGATTTTTCCATGAAAATCCGGATAATTTTCAAGTTGTTGCTCAGCCCAATTCACGAACATACGACGTTTTTGGAGAACAACGTGTGAGAGACGATTTGGGTCTCCCTCAATTGATGCGCTAGCGTTAGGAATATTACCTGGCACTTCTTTGTCTCACTGTCACGGTTACATTTTGAACTGTGCCTGTGGATTCAAACTCTTCAAAAAAACTCTAAATTGTTGATCTAATCGGACGATAATGACGACCATAAATTGGACGAAGCGCTCTTAAAGTGGAGGCAACTGACTCCATATTTCGGTAGTAGTTTGGACTCGTTGTTGAACCGTATATCTTTCCATAAACAAATGACATAACAAAATGAAATGTCAAAAGAGCGGGAAAAAAATGTGGCGTCATTTGCTGTCCGTATAGGTTTATTTTTGTAGCGGTCGTATTAAAAAACCCGTTACTTGTCTTTTACATATGTGGGTACATCACGCACTACGCCACCATGTATTCAGCCTAAAATTTCTCCAGTTTGTTTATCAAGCGAAACATTTATCGAAACTGCGCCTTTTCATATAAGCCTTTTAATAGAAACTATCACAGCAGTAACTTGTGAGGTACGCAATTTTCACTTAAACATATTAAACATCTCATAGACACTACAAATATTAAGAAATTGCTTCGCTCATATGATTTTGTCACGAGTGTGTTGTGCTACCAAACAAGGTGAAAAGTTGTTAAACAAATAAATCGAAAGTAGGCACAACAAGCAAAACGAAATGCCTTCATAACCTCTGCCTTGACTATGGTTTTCCGCCACTCGGCTACGGCTCACTAAGGCTAAACAAATGTTTATATGACTTTGCGTTGGCGTCGCAAACAACACGCCCGCTTAAGTCAATTAATGTCACATAAAACAGCAGGCAAACGCCACAACCGCTTGCCACATCAACACGAACTCCTACCTTTTCTCTGTAGGAATACAAAGTCGTATGGGCATCGTGGAGACGCCGTTATACACGCGAAGCCAAATTCAACAAGTGGGCGCGTAACCCTGTTGAAATTAAAAAATGTTGCTTATAATGGTGCTCCCTGCCATGTGCCCTGAAATTTCTAATTTTGTAGACAGACAGCTGGGCTGGGGTAGGAAGTGACTGCTATTTTTGTTTCGTGTGAGCTAATCACGCGATGGCTAAGTGATGAACGTAACGGTTATGTGTCAACAATTACTTAGAAAATGCGACATTGTGGAAAACTTGATATAAGAAACATAGTCTTAATCAGCGTTTACGTAGATTCACTGGCTCTCATTTCAACCCATTTTATACTTGAATTTCTGGCTAATATTTTCATGATCATATGTTAGCGCTGTTAGTTGTGCGAGCATGTCAAGCTATGGTTTCTTATTTCGATACAATAAAACAATTTTTACAATTTTTTGCCGCTTTCAACGAAATGAAATTTAATTAAATCCTTAAATTTACCTTTTGCATGCTTACTCGTTTGTATGTTTTCTTTTTGTTTCTTCCATTTTGTGTTTTTTCCATTTTTTTCTTTTCTCTTCTCACATATCGCGTAATTTACAATCGTTTTCGTAATTTTCGCGCACAACAGTTGCCGTCGCCGTGGCCTTCTTCCTTTGCTGGGCGCCCTTCCACGCACAACGCTTGATGGCTGTGTATGGCAGCAGCGCGAACATTGATTCGCAACTGTTCAAAGATGTCTTCGAAGCTGTCGACCTCACATCCGGTGTGCTGTATTACCTATCGACCTGCATCAATCCGTTGCTGTACAACATCATGAGTCACAAATTTCGTGATGCTTTCAAGGTGAGCTAAGTTAAAATAAATATGTAAATTCGTAAGTATGAAAGGCAGTAGTGGGCGAAGATATTACATTCCGGTTTAATCTCATGTCCTTTTAAGTTATTCCACTCGCTTTTTTGCCATTTCTTCCGCATTTCAACTAATCTGATTTGATCTCATCTCATATCATATCATCTCATCTCATATCATCTCATAATTTTCTCTCATATCATTATATCTCATCTCATCTCCTGTCAGCTTATAATGTCCTCTAATATCATCTCATCTCACAATTTTCTTTCATATCATCTTATCTCCTGTCATCACATAATGTCATTCATCTCATCTCATTTCATCTTGTTTCTTCCATCTCATTTCGTCTCATCTTATAATGTCCTGTCATATCATCTTATCTCATCTCATCATAGTATCTCATATTATCTCTCTCATCTCGTTTCATCTCATCTCTTCAGTCACGTTTTCGAATAACTTTTTGACCCAAAAAATGTATTCTCTTGTCTCTCGCAGGTAACTTTAGCTCGTCAATTTGGATTTCCCGGCCGCTCTCAGAGTCAAAGCCACAACTACAGCGCCCTGCTGCGACAGAATGGCTCCATGCGTCTACATACAACGGTGAATAACAATGCTCTCGATCAGTACCACTCTTACCGAGTTATGCAATTACATTGTCGTGACCAAAGACATCATCTCTCTCTGCAGGACAGCATCCGAACAACAACAACGACGACAACAATCAACAGCAGCGGCGGAATGGGTGGCAACAGCGTTAGTCGTCATTCATCGCATCGTTCACGTTATACCTCCCTTGGGTCGCAGTCCCCGCTAACAACAACACTCACCAAACGCGATGAAATCGTCGCAAATCAAATAAATGGCATTACTGCAACAACCGCAGCCAAGCAACAACAACAACAGAAGCAACATCATCACATGCTACAAACTCAACTATCGCAACGCTCCAATGGCACCGATAGCAATATTCTGCTCGACATGGAGTTGGGCACAGCGCATAACTTTTGTCACGGTCATCCGCAGTCTTCAGCCATAAATTGCAATCGAAGTGACAATTTGCGACGCTCCGTCATTAGCAATAGTATGGTGCATGCAGCGCGTAATGCGCGTCCACTCGGCGATGATCGCATGTCGATTAACTCGCAAGAGTGGGATAGTGGCGCCAGTCAATATGAACTGGGCGACACACTGTGTATGGGTGAACTTGAGTCCGAACTGGCCAGGCCCGATACACCGAATAGTCTGACAATGGCGCGAATGGCTGGTGCTCAATTAGCGCCCACCATACAGCCGGTGAACTCCATAGCGGAATTGGACGTGCATGGACCGGCACGTACGCGTCTCAAACTTTCGCGAATAATCAGTCGACGTGACCAAGACACATTGTTGGCCAAGTCGATGCCGCGCGCCGAACTAATGCGCAGCTCCACTAATATGCCTAATGTGCCTGGCTCACCGTTTACGACCTACGAAAATGATAAGAAAAAGCAGGCGCGTAACACAAATGGCGGACGTCCCCATAAAACTTTTGACACACTCACCGGCATTTTTCACTGGCCTGCTCGTAAAAAGCAGCTGAATGGACGACATGTTGGTGGTGTGCCGGCTGCCGTTGGCAGTGGTGGGTCGCGACAGAACAGCATCTCCGCAACTCACACGCACACAAGCTCAACCGGTACACCTACACCGCGTATGGCACTTATGCGCAGCATATCCTCCGCGTCATCGGCAATGCTGGAGTCAACGCTTAATGTCGAAATGATTGGCCAGAAGTTGTGAACGGCATAGCCTGCCAGCACCTGCACCCACGCACGCTCGTAGCGGCATTACGCTGCAGCGCTTTATTCAACACGCGAAAGTTCAGTGAACATGGCACTTGTCCGGTCACCGAGACCAGATGGCGACATGCAGTCATCCAAGTCCACATATACATGTATATATAGTTGTCTCTTTACTCTCTTCTCACATATCCAAATGCAACGCTTCAACCTCAAACTCACACCAAATGTCACGTACACGGTTCACAACGATATACACGAACTGCCCCGTCTACATTTCGTCCTCATCTGCACAGTCGCGTAAAGAAAAAGTGCGAGTTGCCTAAATCATCTCAGCAATCTGTCGCATCAGCGTGTTAGGCCACTTATCTCCGCAATTTGTTGTCACATCTAACCGATCCATTAACGACTCGAAACACATATATTTCCCAATGTATGTACATATGTATAGTATACGTCTTGCCATTGTAGATTGTTAGTGTCTTGTCGCGTCGCTGCCATGCGTCGCATTTGCTTAAATACAGCAGTAAAATAAATTGTAAGAAATCCCTAGTCAGACAGTCGTATCGCTACAAATGCCATAACATTAACTAAAAGCACACCCAAACCCCGCTCTAAGTGCGATATATGTAAATGACAATCCTGAGCAACAGAGAAGAACGAAAGTGAAAGACATTTGACATTCTCACAAAATAAGTTATGATACCATACGAAGACATAATATAACATAGCGGATTATAACATGGTACAATAGCATAAATAATATTTTAATATTCTCTAGAGCATGAAAAATTGACTTAAATTTTTATTTATTGTACATATATTTTTCTCCGATTTTTCTTAACTCAGTGCTGTTAGAATGCTTCGCCGAAAATATAGAGACTAGAGTAGTGACTAAAATAGTTTAACAATAACGCCATACTATTAATTTGTCTAGCTAATGTACCCTTTATCGAACTGCTTAAGATATCTCTAAAATGAGTTATCAGAGGTTTTCTAGAACCATTATAGTTTTGATTATAAATCTCTTATAAGATTTGTGTGAAAGTGTCGATATCTCGAATTATGAATCCAAAAATAGAAAATCGATATTTGCAATATATTCTAAAAATTCATATTTGATGTCCGAGTATTAGAACTATGCTATTTTAAAGTTTCCAACAGCATACTGACCATACATAAGTAAGAAAAAACAAACAACAAACGCTACTGCTTTAAAATGTCATTGATATCAATTAAAAATAATCATCATTTAAAAATTATCAATTTACAAACAATTTTGCCTCCTTTTTATGTCCTAAATTTTCAAGATATATTTGAGGTAACTTTTTAGTATCGAACATTTTGGCAATATTTTAGGAAACTTGTTTTATAAACAATACTCAGAACGTGGCAACTTTATTAAAGTATATTTATTCAATGTGTATCGTGATGATTTGTCCCAAAGTCTGAATGGAAGCGCGATTGTCTACATAGACTTGAGACTTTACATATTCTCACAAGTCTAACGGTGTGCCATCACACGATCTTAGTGAGCAATCGACCGTCCCAAATCTGCGCACGGAAATGTACTATTCGGTCACATATTATCCAATAATGAACGCTGCGTCTCAAAATGGGTGACGGTGTTGCGAATAGTACGCTTAGTAGGTCGATTATGATGAACATAAGTTGAACGGAGCGCACGAAACACATCCTTTAAATTTTCGTAATAAATATAGTTGAACGATTTGTAACGTTGTTCAGGCGTAATTTTTTCCACGATGAAATGCCAAACAATACTGAACCAAAATAAAATGACAGCTCGACACAACTCACTCGGGATCGGTCAAAAAAAAGGCAATTAAAAAAAGAATCACTACTTGGATAACCCATTATTTACGAAACTTAAATTAAAGTCATTTGAAAATATTAGCTTGGTATGATTTTTGAGAAAATTTTCCGAGCGTGAACTAAAGACTCTTCGCCACCCAAAAACAACAACAAAGCCATAATATGAACATTTTCCGCTCAACACTTCGAGTCGCTAAAAATTTTCGTACCCCAAATCACTGTTGCTGAGGATTGCTTTAACTAACACAGTTGCACAATAAAAGCGATAAAAGATACCACTTAGTTTATAAAATTTAGAATAGTTCTTACATTCACAGCCTTTTTCCACACACACACTTTGCGCCTACAAATTGCGACTTAGCTTTTAGGTGTTAAAACGAAAATGAAACTCAAAATAAAGAATTTCAAATTCTAAGCTTTGGCGGCTTTGCTTTTCGTTCGCCGGTCTCAACTTAGTGCATAAACACTTATTAGCGTTGTATTATAAGAGTTGTTGTTGTTAAACTATCTGCCGGCTTTGTAATTGTAGCACTGCATACGCTTAAATGAGACTTTTGCCGAGCGTAATGCAATTAGGAAATATTGTAGTTATTTTAATGCTGTTGAATATATTCGGAATTGCAAGGCAGCAAGAAGAAGAAAGTTTAATTATGCCCGTGATTATGAAATTGCGGAACATGGCTGTGCCCCACGATTTACACACATACACACTCAAGTGCATAGCGATATAGTTCGTTTGTGCCGAGCACATAAGTATGTATGCCTACTGTTTATGAAATATTACTTGTTAGTATATAAAAATAAATTTATAAAAATGAAATTATAGTTTAGTTAAGCTCGTTGTACTTGCTTCTAGCAGACTAAGAATTTATGCGTACTTATTATATACTATATATGGTATATTTTATTAATTTATATTTATGTAAGTTTTAACTGTAATTATGTATTTTAGCAATAAGAGTCAGAAAGAAGTCGAATCTGAGAGTCAAAAACTACAAAAAAAAAACTTTAAAATGTTTTTAAATTCAATAAAAGTTTGTGTTACTGTAATTAGTTGATAACGGTAAGTATGAATAATTGTCGAATCACTTTTGACACGCTGCTTAAAATATTTTCGAAACCCGTATTATGAACGCATCGACCCCCTCTACAGGTGTCGAAAAACATTGTACAAGAGATTATTTTCTACGAATGGGAAGAAAAAGAAGTCATTTACGGTGGCTTACCTATCAAATCGATGTTTTAAGTGCTCAAACATGCACTTGTTGCAGGCGATGTGTGCGGGCTAGGATTGTCGTGGTGACGCGGTTAGTTTTCCTAATTTATTGAAAACAAACTCAGAATTTACGGTTCTTCTTTGTTCCCGCGGTATGATTGCGACATATTCAGTTTTTCCAAAATAACAGACAATCATTTGCTTGGAAGTGCTTCACAAACGAACAACTTTTGTTGAAATCAGCTCATCTTGAAACACCCGTAGATGGACACGTCAAAAGTTTCAAAAAAAAAAAAAAAAACGCGAAAATGTTCACAACACAAGTAGCCTACGTAATTCAATGCGTTCTGGGTATGTATACCATCGAAAGAAGACAAAGATAAAGATAAAGATAAAGATAAAGATAAAGATAAAGATAAAGATAAAGATAAAGATAAAGATAATATACTAGGATGGTCAAATCAACTAAAGGCAATCACACAATTATATTTTTCAACAGAGATCGCCCTTACCATGAAATACATAAAAACATCGGTACATTTCTATTACTTGACAAGAAATGCAGAATTTTGACTCGACTTCGACCCGATATAAATTAATGTTGTAAAATAGGAATATTATTTTATATAGTAAATCGATAAAAATTATCGCTTTAATCGAGCAAAGGACGGTTAATTGATCAATAAACTAATGTGCGAAAAGGCTTTTAATTTTTTATGGGTCATAATGTGCTATAAAATGCAATAAGTAAATAATTGCCTAAATAGTATTATAATTCTCGTGAGGTCTGCTCAATGAGAAGGAATAAAAGTAGTGCGCTAAATGGTAAAAGATCAATTCAGCTAATTTTCGAATAACTACTAAGTATAAATAGCTAACGACTTGATGAACTGAATAATAGTGAGCAAAACGTTTCCTAAACCTGACATAATTGTGATGCTTATCCATTACTATTAATTGCTAAATAATTTAGAATTTACCTTGCACTTTAAATACGTGTGTTAGGCAATTCCCAGAAATTTTCATACTTTGCAATGAGATTTTTATTAGGAATCTCATTCAAAGAATAATTTCGGCAAGACTCTAAGCACTTTGTGCATTTATCTCTAATCTGTATTGAAGCGCATAAATTTGCTAATTGTTTGCATAAAAATTTTATTTTATAGTGAAACTTTCACGGACGAGTACATAGAATTGAATAGTTTGTTTACCCAAAATTCTGCCGAACTTTACCAATGTTAGCAATTTAATTGGAATTCCATAATTTATTTTAGAATGAACTTTGCACGAATTGTATGGAAATATTTATGAATAGTTTTCGATATGTATATATGTGCGTACTTTTTATTTCATTTAAGTGAAGTTTATTGATTTATAACTTAATTATTAAAAATTCTTTTGGATCGTTCATTAAGTAATTTATCCATTCGAAAGCAAGAAAAATGGGTGGCATACTCGTATATTCAAGCAAAGATACGTGGAAATACGTGTTTGCATGGCAGAAATTCCGTTGTCGTTTTTATATCGAATAATGAGGCTTAGATTTAATGACTGTCCAAGAGATCACACTTATACTACTAAATGCAGTCTTTTGCGTAGCAATTAAATAGAACCTCTATAATTCGAACTTATAACTCAGCAAAACGCCTGAAAGAAAACCCTCACAACTAGGGAGAGGCTAACCTTACTGAGGAAAAAGAACTGACCAGCGTGTAACCCAGCGCTGGAAGCTCAACTATGCTACAATTGGCTTGATATATTCTTGGCCACCAATCGATCGCTGTACTTTCATGATGAGATCCAAATGATGGGAAATTGTATTAGTTTCAGATCGACAATACTTTAAATAACGCTTTATTATATAGTTTTTGAAATGTCTAGTTATAAACCCTAATATTAAATATTAGAATTTTTTATATAGAAAAAAATAAAAATGAATATGGAAAAATTGAAGTTCCTGATGGGGCTTTGTAGTCTTATCAAACTCACCAACGATTATGGAGTCACTGACGAAGAAGTTTCGAATTTCTTAAGAATTTAATTTCACTTCAATCAAACAAAAAACTGTTAAACACAATACAAATCACACACACAAGACAATGCGGCACCTGATTGAAAAAATATTTATATAAGATATTGCAAACTCACACGCGTCATTAAAAATTCATGCAAAACATTTTAAAAACTTTGCATTGGCAATTTCACCAACTTCAGCGCAAACTTGAAGGCTTGAGTGCAAGAAGAGCAGTCAAGTTTTATGTTGCTATATTACTTATTTAAGCGTGAGTGTGTATATTGCTCAAAATGTAATTCAGTGCAAACAACCGTGCAGCAAAAAGGTTGTGCGTGACAGCGTACGCCATGGCGTATGAGTGATCAACATCAAGAGTGCACAAAGGGTTAACACACGCTAGCTCCAACTGCTGCACATTTTTACGGCAACAACACGTATACACACACATAACTGGCTGTATTTGTTTATGCATGTGTGAATGTGTTGGCCATTTGCTGGTGTGCTTGTTAAATGTCTTTGGCGCTCTCAAGCAAAATAATGCAATAAAAGTCTTGAAAAATTTGAATGGCTCATAAAAAACGGCATGCAGTCGTGTTGAGTGAGCGGCAAGACCGCAAGAACGAGTGTCATGTT